GACTCCCTGTCTGCAGTTAATGTCCCCTGAGTGGAAACAAAGATGGAAGAGACAGAGTTGTGTAGTGGAGGCTCATTGCAAATAAAATGTAGACCTCATTTCCTAGCCAAATCTAAGCTCTTGAACCTAGAGTTGAAAGAAACCCCAATGTGTGCCATCCGCCTGGTTCATGATCCATTTTTAGTTTGTATCCAACTTGTAATACCCAAGTACAAAACAAGCACTTAATCATATCTTGCAATGAGCTTGTCCAATGAATGAACACCACAGGCTGATGTGGATGTCCTTCACTACCAGAGTAGGCCACCAGAGGGCAGACATAAGGCACCCAGCTGGCCCTTCTTTCTCCCTCAAGGGACTGCTCCAGGATGTCTGCCCTCAGCCAGCCAGTGTTCTTCCCTCTCTCTTTACCTTGCATGGAATGTGACTCCACGGAGCCCCCTGGGTTCCCCAGAGGAGGCACAGCCAACTTGCCAGGCTGGATAAGTGTACTTAGCTCTGCCATGGAGAGAAAAAGTGTTTCACAGCGCAGAGCCTGGGGCTATGCGGAGGCTGCTTCTGGGCTCTCCTGAGGCTGGTGTGGCCAGCGCAGCTGTGGCTGGAGTAATCCGCTGGCTCCCTTCAGGGCACCCTTGCTTGGGGTCTGCAGGGTCTGTCCCTAGAGAATTGTGCAAGACCCACTCCCCCCGGACATGGCGTCGTGCCCCTGCCTGCCAGCGTCCTTGAGCAGCGGAAGCAGCTCCTACTCTAAGAGAAGCCTGGAAGTGGAGTCAGGAAGTGATGTGCTGATGTCAGGCCAACCAGCGAGAGCCTGGGCTGAGGAGCAGGGGTCTGCTCAGAACTGCTTCCTCTAGGTTTTTGTTTGTTTGTTTTCAATTTTCTTAGTAATGATTCATTTTGAACATTTTTTTTTTTGACAGGCAGAGTGGACAGTGAGATAGAGAGACAGAGAGAAAGGTCTTCCTTTTGCCGTTGGTTCACCCTCCAATGGCCGCTGCGGCCGGTGCACCGCGCTGATCCGATGGCAGGAACCAGGTACTTATCCTGGTTTCCCATGGTGTGCAGGGCCCAAGTATTTGGGCCATCCTCCACTGCACTCCCTGGCCACAGCAGAGAGCTGGCCTGGAAGAGGGGCAACCAGGACAGAATCCAGCACCCCGACCGGGACTAGAACCCGGTGTGCTGGCGCCGCAAGGCAGAGGATTAGCCTAGTGAGCCACGGCGTCGGCTAACATTTTTATTTTTAAAGATTTGTCTATTATTTATTTGAAAGTCAGAGTTACAGAGAAGGAGAGGCAGAGGCAGAGGCAGAGGCAGAGAGAGAGAGAGAGAGAGAGAAAGAGAGAGAAAGAGAGATGAGAGAGAGAGATCTTCCATCCGCTGGTTTACTCCCCAAATGGCTGCAACAGCCAGGGCTTCCAGGAGGCTGAAGCCAGGAGCCTCAGTCTCCACCTGGGTCTCCCACATAGTTGCAGGGTCCCAAGCACTTGGACCGTCTTCTGCTGCTTTCCCAGGTATATTAGCAGAGAGCTGGTTTGCAAGTGGAGTAGCCAGGACTCAAACTGGTAGCACCCATATGGGATGCCGGCACTGCAGGTGGTGGCTTTACCTCTATGCCACAGCACTGGCCCCTATGTCATTTTTTTTAATGATTTATTTTTATTTATTTGAAAGGTAAAGTGACAGAAAGAGAGAGGGAGAGTTGTGAGAGACTGAGATTTTCCATCCACTGGGTGATTTCTCAAATGGTTATAGCAGCTGGAGATGGGTCGTGCTGAAGCCAGGAGCCTGGAACTCCACCTGGGCCTCTCACATGGGTGGCAGGGGCCACGCATTTGAACCATTTCCACTGCTTTCCCAGGCATTTGCAGGGAGCTGTATCAGAAGCAGAGCCGCTGGGACCCAAATTGGTGCTTGATGCCTGTGTTAAAGGTGGTGGTTTACCCCACTGCACCACACTGCCAGCCCCTCATTCTTTTCTGCACGAAGGGAAAACTGTGTTTTCCCATTGTGCAGATAGAACTGGGTGGAGAGGTTTGCTGGAGACAGAGCCAAGTGCCTGAGAGGCCCAGGAGTGGTTGTGTGTGCGTGTGTGTGTGTGTGAGGGTGAGTGTGTGTGTAGTTAGAGCTTCTCACCTATCCATGCTGAAGGATGTTTTATTTTTATGTCCAACCCATTGTGGATCTAAAATACAATAAAAACAAATTACCAGAAAAATGAAAAAAAAAAAGGCAAAATACAAGCGCTAATTTTTTATGATTGCATTAAACAAAATAAAATTATTTCAGATCACTAGAAAAGCTCTACATTTTTCTTTCTTTTTTTTTTTTTTAAAGATTTATTTATCTATTTGAAAGACAGAATTACAGAGAGGAAGAGGCAGAGAGAGAAGCTTCCATCCACTGGTCTACTCCCCAGATGGCCGCAATGGCCAGAGATGCGCTGATCCAAAACCAGGAGCCAGGAGCTTCTTCCAGGTCTCCCATGTGGGTGCAGGGACCCAAGGACTTGGGTCATCTTTTACTGCTTTCCCAGGTCATAGCAGAGAGCTGGATCGGAAGTGGAATAGCCAGGACTTGATCTGGCACCCATATGGGATGGCAGCACTGCAGGCAGTGGCTTTACTGGCTATGCCACCACACTGGCCTCTGCTTTAATTTTTCTACTTGTCATGGACTATATAAAGTTCACAGATGGGCACCCATCGGTAAGCTACACAGAGTGGCTATTACTGATAGAGAGGCAAGGGCAGGGCAAAGGCATGAGACTCAGGAAGGAGGGCTGGTTCCTTCCCAGGCCCCTCCAGCAGTGTTTCTGTTTTGATTTTTACAGGGGAGAGTCTTTTTCAGATGAGTGGCAAGGGCTTGGGTGCTCCTGGTTAGTCAGTGCGGACCCTGTGCTTTTCAGTCCTCCAAGCAGGGTCTCTGGTTAGCAGCAAAGGAGTGGGGATCTGATGTACTCTGGGCACAGACTGGACTGGCAATGAGACATAAGGAGGAGGATGAAGAAGAGGAAGGACAATGAGGATGGGGTGGGGGAGAGGTGGGAGGAAAAGGGAAGTGAAATGGGAAAAGTGCTAGCATAAGTCATCTTCCTATTCCCTCTCTGTCTTCACCCAGAGCACAGGCATGGATAATTAGGCTCCCAGAAGTGAGCTGATGGATGGGTGCTCTTAGGTTGAGTTTGTGTCCTGTCAGTAGACCTGTGCTATCTAAACTTGGCATGCATACAGATAGCCTGGAGATCTTACTGAGATTCTGATTCTGATGCAACAGATCTGGGGTTGGGCCTGAGAGTCTGCTTTGCTCGTGAGCTCCTGGGAGATGCCAACATTGCCAGGCCAAGATAGATGCTAGCTGCTAGCTGCTCTGTGGTGCTGGGCGCTCTCTGATAAGGTGGACTTGGCTTCTGTGGGTAATGTGTGAGGAATCTGGTCAGCCCAGCATTGCCCTCTTTGTGATTGCCAAGCAGGAGCAGAGGAAGCAGGGCCAAGGTCTCGCAGGAGTGAATAGAGTGAGTCTGCCTGCTGCTATGTATCAAGGAGTAGGTAGTCCTTGAACAAACCAAACAGGCACTGCCAATGATTGACACTGCTGAACATGATGCAAACGGATGCCCAAGTGTTAACAACATAGATTTCATAACATGTACCATTTTACTGATTTATTTTTTATGATTTTATTTATTTATTTCCTTTCTTTTATTAGAGAGTGAGCGAGCGAGTGAGCGAGCGAGAGTCTTACATCTGCCTGGTTTATTCCCCCAAATGCCCACAACAGTCAGGGCTGGACCAGCATGAAGACAGGAGTCAGAACCTCAATCTGGATCTTCTGTGTGGCTGGCAGGGACACAACCACTTGAGCCGTCACCTGCCTCCCACGTTGTGGGTTAGTGGGAAGCTAGAATTGGAAGTGGAGCCAGAACTCGAGCCCACACTCTGATATGGGATGTGGGTATCTCAAAAGGCATCTTAACTCCTGGACCAAATCCCCGCCATGACCACGTCGTCTCAAACAAGCAAGGGTAACAGTTTTCCAAGGTACTCTACAAATGAGGGCTTTGGGCAAGTCTCAGTTCTGTCTTTGATAAGCTGGAAGGGATCTGAACAGAATCGGGGTGGCAGGTGAAGGCAGAGTTCCCAGCGCCCTGGGGCTAGGTGGGGGCGATGGATGCCCTTTTTCTTTCAGGGTCAAGCCAAGTGCATTCAAAGGGACTGTGAACCACAATGGAAATATACAAGTATAGTAGAAAACATTTTTGGTACAAAAATTGTTATCAACATATGTGGAAAAATGATTGGCATAAAAAAAACCAGGCATGGATATAGAAACTTTTTTTGGCACCAAAATAAGCTCATACTTTGAGTCACATTTTTCATAAAGTTTTTGAAGTTTCCTTGTGTGTTTTTGTGTGTGTGTCTCTCCCAATCATTGCCTTGTCTTCTGCTAAGACAGGGCCAGGACTAGGGCTCAGGAGCTTCCTCACTGCTGGTCTCAGGGACTGGAGGACCCACAGGAGGGGCTGGGGCTGGGGGTGCACTGGAGGCCAAGGATGGGTTGTGTGTTTTCGGGAGATCATCACTAGTAGAGAACCTCGTCATAGTCGCCAAGTGGACCTGGGTGGGCATGGTTCAGGCTCAGCTCCTCGGGGGAAATCTCACGATGGCCTGGCTTTCTCACTTCAGCATAGATGATGGAAATGTCCTGTGGGAGAGTCTGGTCAGGATGAGGAAGCAGAGGTGAGACAGCAGCCCGGAAAAGAGCAGGGATCCCAGCTTACCTTTGGCTCGGAGGTTAACTGCACAGGCCTGCCTGTGGGAAAAGAGAAGCTCCGGGGTTAGATAGCTGTGCTCACAGCACGTCGCTTGCCAACATGTGGACCCAGCCCAGGGAGGTGCCTTTTCTTTTCCCTCAATCTGAAAGTGGACCGAGTTGGGAATTGGGAAACCAGGGTTCTTGCCCTAGTTTGGCCACACACCAGCTGTGTCAGCTAAGGCCAATCACTGAGCCTCTGAATCTCAACATTCTTAACCCC